GGAGAGAAGCCCTCAGGCAGCAGCCTTGCGGCCCAGGCAGCTGCTCCTGCTCAGCTGGGAGGGCCAGGGCGTCCCCAGCCGCAGAGCCTGGCATCTCAGAGTGCGGCCACCTCTGGGGCTGGAGACGAGGGTGTCCCCACCGAGAGCGAGGACACGGAGGGCCTGGGTGGCAGCGGGTCCAGCGGCAGGCCGTGCTCTGAGGTGAGCACTGTATACTCGGGGGACTTCGAACGCTCACCTGGCGCCTCCGAGGATGCTCCCGACGGAACACTGGACACCGTGTCCTCCAGGACAGGGACAGTGCTCCTCCCCAGACCACCCTCGTCCAGGCGGCCCCAGGCCAGGCCTGCAGCCAGGGCCATGATGAAAGAGATGGCGGTGCAGACCCTGGATGCCTTTGCTGGCCTGTGGACTGAGGGTGAGTGACTGACTGGTGCGTCCTCGAGCCCTGACAGCACCTGGTGTGTGGTCTGTGGGATCCTGGGAGCAGGGTGTGGGCTCTTGTTGTGAACCGGCTTGGGGGAACCCTGGCACCCTCCTCCTTCCAGAGGCTGCGGGCCAACATTTCCAGTGCCTTGCAGCTCTGGAACATTCTGGAAAGTTCCAGAACCATCCGCTACAGTAGTGGTTTGGACCCCGGTTTGGGCACATGGCCAAGTCACAGGCAGCTTTGGGTGCTGCGCTGAGGGGACTGGGAGCGGCTGGCGTTGGTGGCTGGAGGCCAGAGACACTGGTGGCTCAGTACCCTGCAGCGCACGGTGGTGGCACCTGTCCTTGGGGACACCGTGTGCGCCTTGCACGGGGGCGGTGCCTGGGGCTCCAAGGCTGCCCTGGCCTGGCCTCGTGTAGGGGGTGGGGTGGGGTGTGAGCCACCTCGCTGCCCACACGGGTCCACACGGGGCTCCACCTGGCCAGACCCTCAGCATCCGCCGGGTAAAGGGCTGGAGACGCGGCCAGCGCAGAGGCCCCGTCCATCCACTGGAGGCGGCCTGGGAGGTGGGTACACAGAGCAGGCCCCGGGCCTGCACCCAGCCCTTCCTGTCTTAGCCACAGGGCCCGGCAGCGCCCTGGGAGGTTCCTACGTGGACCCGGCCCCCATCGCCCCTCACGTGCTCGGCGCAGACGCCATCGAAGGTACCGACTCGGGCCCCCAAGGGGTGGCGTTGTCCCCGCCAGTCCACGCCCGTGCTGGGCGGGGAGACCTCAGCAGGGACTGTTGCAGGCTTTGCCCCTGTGCAGCTCAGCGGGAAGGGGTAGATCAGTTCCCCGCTGGAACTGGGACTGGGTTCTGAGAGAAGAGGAGGGAGACACGGACAGAGTGAGGATGAGAGAAAGCAAGGGAAGATAGCCTGCCTTCAGGGGCACCCGGGAGGCTGAGGCAGGAGCATCGCCAGGGGTTCAAGGTCAGCCTGTCTCAAAAAACAAGAAAAAGTAACTCATCGATTTTCCATCCTGATAAGATACTTTTATTTTAAATGCCCATCTCAGTCTTTTTGCACTTTACTTTTAATTTTTTTTTTTTTTTTTTTTTTTTTTTTTTTTAGGATTGAACTTGTGGCTTTGAGTACACTGACCAAATGCAGTAGCCTTGGGCTAAAACCTCAGCCTAAATTTTATTTTTAATTGCATTTTTAACTTTTACTTTGATTTTTTAATCTTTATTCTGAATTGTATTTTTTTCTTGGGTTTTTTTTTTTTTGGTACACAGGATCAAACTTGGGACCTTGCATTTGCAAGGCAGGAGGTGGCACAACTGAGCTAACTCCCCAGCTCCCTGAATTGTATTTTAATGTTCTTTTATTTACTTATTTATGCTGTGTGGCCCGGTCTGTCCTTGAACTCCTGGCGATCCTCCTGCCTCAGCGTTTTGAGGGCTGAGATTATAGGCACGTGCCACTGTGCCTGGCTGGCTGGCTTTTTTCTTTTTGTGGCGGAGATGGAACCTATAGGGCCTGATGTGAATTAGGCATGTACCATACCACTGAACTGTACCCCCAGCCCTATTTTTTGTTGTTGTTGTTGTACCAGGGATCGAACTCAGAACCACTGAGCTAAATCCCTGGCCCCCTATTTTTTTGTTTGTTTGTTTGTTTGTTTTTTGAGACAGGGTCTCACTATGTAGTTGAGACTGCCCTGGGACTCACTGTGTAGCCCAGGGTGGTCTCGAACTCACAGCGATCCTCCTGCCTCAGCTTCCCGAGTGCTGGGATTACAGGCGTGCGCCACCACACCCGGCTCCCCTATTTTCTTTTTTAGTTACTTTTTTTCAAGAAATATGTTTTTAGCCGAGTGCAGTAGCAGGTATGGAGGCCAAGGCAGGAGGATCCTGAGCCCCCTTCAGAGCAGGACCCTGCTTTTGAAGCCCGCGGCCATACCCCAGCCCGAGTGGCGCAGACGTAAAGCAGCCGGTGGTGGGGTTGAGGGGGTGCTGGGAGCCAGGAGTGACGTGGAGAGGCAGCCCTGACAGCTCACAGCCCGGCAGCCGCAGCACTTGACGACCTGCTGAGGCAGCAGCTGCACCTGACCCGGCAGTTCATTCAGGCCAGCCACCACCTGCACGCGTCGCTCCTGCAGTCACTGGACAGGGACACCTTCCACTACCACAGCCTGGAGGAGGCCAAGGAGGTGAGCGGTGGGGTGGCCTGAGGGCTGCAGGCTCGGTCCCCACCGGCCGAGATGCCACGGCTGCCCTCAGCTTCTCTGGCGGTTGTTTCTGTTGGATACACACACGCTGCGCAGTATGCAGCCCCCCAGCCCCCGAGGTGTGGACGCCTCGGCCCCTGTCCCTCAAGTTTCCTGTGCCAGGCAAGAACCACCTGACGTGAAGGTGCTCACAGGGATCCCATCAGACCCGAGGCACTGCTGTCTCTTATGTCTCCCTCCTTTTTTTTTTTTTGGTTTTTTGAGATAGGGTCTCACTATATTTGAGACTGACCTTGAACTCAGTGTCTCGAACTCACAGCGATCCTTCTGCCTCAGCCTCCGTAGTGCTGAGATTACAGGTGTGTACCACCATGTTTGGCAAGTTTTTTGAGACAGGGTCTTGCTGTATATTCTAGGTTAGCCTGGAGCTCACTATGTAGCCCAGGCTGGCCTGGAACCCCAACAGGGATCCGCCTGCCTCAGCCTCCCAAGTGCTGTGATAACAGGTGTGTACCACCAGGCCCAGTGAAAATAACTTTAAAAAACATAGTCAACAGGGCTGGAGATTTAGCTCAGTGTTCTACTGCCGGCCTTCCAAGCACAAGGTCCAGAGTTTGATCCCCGGTATAAAAAAACAACAACAACAAACAAACAAACACAAAAACCCAAACATATATACAATCAACAGCTGGGCATGAAGGCCATGCCTGCCATCTCAGCACTCAGGGAAGCTGAGGCAGGAGGATGGCAAGCTAGATAGAAAATAAGTAAGATATAGCTCATTGCAAAGATCCCAACCTCAATCTTAATCCCCAGTATATGGAAAAAAAAAGTCACATCACTGATAAGAGAAATTCAGTGCTCAGATGTTTTTTTTTGTTTTTTTTTTTTTTTAAGACAGGGTCTCACTATGTAGTTCAGACTGCTCTGTAACTCACTATGTAGCCCAGGCTGGTCTGAACTCACAGCGATCCTCCTGCCTCAGCCTCCCGAGTGCTGGGATTACAGGTGTGCGCCACCACGCCCGGCAGTGTTCAGATTTTCCTTGTCTTGTTCAAGCTGTATGTTTCCTGATGTAAGCTTCTAAGTGTTTACTGCTGCGGATGGAACCAAGGCCTTGCACATCCTAGGCAGTGCTCTACCAGGCAGCTGCACCCCAGGCCTTTCTGTGTTGAAACAGTCTCACTGGGCTTAAATTTGAAACCCTTCTGCCTCGGCCTCCTGAGGACCGAAGTCACAGCATCACATTGTATCTGAAATTACGAGTGTGCAACACCATTGTATTTCTATTTTTTGGTCCCAGGGATCAAACTCAGGACCTTGTGCTTTTGAGGCAGGTGGTGGCATCACTGAGCTAAATCACCGGCCCTGTATTTATTTTTAATTAAGTTTTTGGTGCCAAAGGCCAGGACCTCGCATACCAGGCACTCCGATGCTCACCAGCCTGACGGTCCAGAGCTGCAACTGCTCAGCCTCAGCAGAGCCGTGGTGAGGCAGCTGCTGCCCCACCTCCTCGGTTCCTGCGCTCTGGGCTTGGCTGGCCACACCCTCGGGCCTGCTGGGGGGCCCCCCCGTGGCTGGTTGCCGGGGGAAGCAGTCTGCCTGTGGCCCCTCTACCCCCCACTTTGCACCGGGCCCCGGAGGCCTGGCAGTGATGACCCGGTG